GGGGAGGCTGGCAAGGGGCTCTGTGGAGTTCCTGGGCTGTCTCTTTGGGGCGCCAAGAGGAGAGAAGGAAAGAGAGCAGGCCATCCGTTTGTCCTTCCCCACTGTGCCAGGCCCTGGTGGGGCTCTCGCCCAGGGTGTGGGCGACTCCCTGGGGAGGCCGGACCAAGCCAAAGGGAGTGCCTGAGGGGGCTGGACTGGGAGGCGCAGGCTCTCAGGGTGCAGCTCAGGTGAGGGAGGGGCCGGGGTGGGCTCACACGTCGGCCGAGGGCAGTGAGGACGCTGCTTTGTTTTGGTGACGGACTCTTCCTCCAGCTGCCAACCCCACCCTTGGGCAGTGCAGGTGCCACCCAGGCCACTCCCGCTCTGCCAGCCTCGCTCCGACTGCTGGTCAGCCCTGTGCTGGCCCACCCTCTGGCAGTGCAGGTGCCACCCAGGGCCACTCTCACTCCGTCAACCTCTCTCTGACTGCTGGTCAGCCCTGTGCTGGCCCACCTTCTGGCAGTGCAGGTGCCACCCAGGGCCACTCCCGCTCTGTCAACCTCTCTCTGACTGCTGGTCAGCCCTGTGCTGGCCCAGCACGGGCAGGCCTGATGCGCTTTCCTGACCCCTCTGCTGTGAGGTGGTCCTATGGGGGGGTGGCCCTAGTGGGGCGGGGGGCTGTCCCCTGACTGAAGAGTCTGATCTTGGAGCCTGTGTGAGTGTGTGTGGGCAGGGCTGGCTGAAAGAGCCCCATGGACCCCAAACAAAGGCCGGCTCACCCCACAGGGCCCCAAGCTGGCGACCCCGGCATCGAAGGTTTGCCAGGACTTGCTGTGGCTCCTTGGTCAGGCTTGGCTGCGGCCTGGGCTCGGGGACACTCCCGCCGGACAACCTTGGTGTGGTTGGTGGGTTGGAAGGAGGGCTGCCACCGGGCGGAAGGCTTACTGTGCGCAGAGCCCGGGGTGTGTGTGTGTGTGTGTGTGTGTGTGTGAATGTGAGTGTGTGTATATGAGTGTATGTGTCAATGTGTGGCTGAGTGTGAGAGTATGAGTGTGAGTGTATGAGTGTATGAGTGTCAGTTTGTATGAGTGTGTGAATGTTTGCATGGGCATATACGTGGGTGTGAGTGTGAGCGTGTATGAGAGTGTGTGAATGAGTGGGTGTGAGTGTATGTGGATGTGTGGTATGTGTGTGTGAGTGAGTGTGCGCATGGGTGTATGTATGGGTGTGAGTGTATGTGTGGGTATGTGTGT